ATTCCTTTGTTGCCTTCTGTGGTTATTTTCCTCATGATGCAGTCAATGACCAGTGCAAACAACAGTGGAGACATAATACACCCTTGCTTTACCCCAGTTGTCACTGCAAATCATTGGCTGATGTTATCTCTGACCGCACATTCAGCATCATAGAAGTCTTTGAGGATTCTAGTTATTTTTGTTGGTATTCCATAATATACCCTTATTTTCCATAGACTGTCTCATGTACACTAGCCTTCTGGAAAGCTATACCATTTATTAAAAGAGTTGTTTGCCACTCTGCACACTGTTCTATTTATAACAGCAACAGTATTGGCTACACAATCTGAATGGTCTAAAATCTGCTTGTGTTCCCCTCTAAGTTGGCAATCTATTTCATATATTGCTGTTCCAAAATGTTTGTGCTATTTAGTTTCCTCACTTAAGTCCCTTCTTTTTCATTTTTGGAGAGCAGCTGATTAAACCTGAACAACTGGATTGTTGGACGAAATATGCTGTAGCTATGAAATGGTTCAGCAGGGACCAGTTTCACTGTTAATTTAAAATGCTAGAATTAATTAGGTAGTGCAAATGAAGAATTTAATAAGCACACTTTATAACCACAAGTTCTGCTTTTATTAAAACTCCCTGCCAAATGATGGCAAATATCTTTGGTCTTTCTGTTTTTCCTTGTCTCGTTTCCTTACATTCTCTGCAACTAAAATACATTTTTCAGTTGAACTTCTCCCCCATAATTAAAATGTATGCCTGAGTTTTATCTCCACTTTCAAATCATTAGCATCTTTTTAAAAAGCTACTGTATATCCTGCCTGTTCAGAAAAGCACCAAACAAAACTGAAGTTCACAATTTTGGTTTTGAATACCAAATTAAAGGCTGTCTTGGAACTTGTCATTCCTGTTCAATTGAGTTCAGCATACTACCAAATTAGCATTTTTTCCCAGTAATAAAGGCGTATGCTTGTTTAAACATGTGTCTTTCCTAAGCAAGTGGTAACATCATGAATTAGTTTTCTTAAAAATCTTACAACTGATCCAGAAGACCTGTATGAAGACTGTGAACAGATTACGATTATTATTGTTGTTCATATACAGTAAATTTAATCCCTATTAAAATAATGGCGTAACAGTCTTGAATATAAATTCTCTCAAGGGGATCTTGTATGTTTAACAGACTTTGTTTAGCTCTGAACTCCTTGTAAAAATATTTTGGGAGTCTAAATATTATCTTATTAAAGTCTGTGCATTTCCTTAACAAGGTGGGGAACACTAGATTTTTTGCCCAGTTAAATGGTCACCCTCCTATTTGAGATTTTTCTAATATGATTTTGCCAGTCTAACAATTTTAGATCACATTTGAAATATGCCCTTTTATTCTTCTGAATGCACTTGTTTAAAAATCCCTTAACCGCAACTTTAATTCAAATTTTGCTTTTACTTTATAATCGACGTTTTATTTTATCAGCAAGGAGAAAGCGATTTATTGTACGGTATATGAAAGAGGTCCATATTCTTCACAGAAACTGTGCCAGTTTTTGTTAAAATGACTCACTTATCAGTCCCTACTTTCTATAGTACACCTTGTATATATTTTTATGTTATTCATTCGCTGACAAAACAAAGAACTATCCACCACAAAAGATGGATTTTCTGAACAAAAATATGCAAAAATCCACAAGCAGATTGAACATAAACTGTTTCAGAGCTTTGCTTAAGTCCACAAGCATGTCAAGAGAATTTACTGTGTACTGTAGTTAATTTTATTCTGCAGTATATCTTCAAAAAATTATGCTGCCTGATGTTAATAATAAAATAAAGCAGATAATCATTGAAAAGGCAGACATTCTGACAAGCTCTCACTCCTACAAAGAACACTCACAGAACAAACTTGAAAGATATTTCAGCCTTGACTTTTATTCACTCGCATTTCACTACTCAATACATGGGCCAAGGGTTGATCAAACTTGTTAACTGGGTCTGTAGTATGAGTCTGGTCTTGTCTTTTTATTTGTTTATGCTCATCTTGATGAAAATGACAACTGTGTGTGTTGGTGAGCCTCTTGGGGGGGGACACGCTTCTTATCTAGCGCTGTGTACCATGACCAGAGGCCAACACCCATAGTTTAAACATAGTTTGAGGAGTCTTATTTTTGCATTTATTTAACATTCTAATCCCTGGTACTCCCCAGGCTTCAAGGTTAAGGGGCCTGGAAAAAATGTGACTGAAGTAGGTGGAGGGAAAGAGTGGACTGGTCTTCCAGTCTTCTAGCTGGACACAGGGAGAGAAGACCAGTAGCTAAAACTGCATGTCAGGTCCCCCACCATTCTATTTGCTCTGAGGACTTTCTGATGTAGGGGAACCAGGTTTTGATGTGGTGGCAGTTGTTTCCATTGCATGGTGAATTCAAGATGAAGGGAAAATAAAAACTCAGAAGAAACCATCATGGTTTTCTATCAGCATAATCAAAGTGAACAAGGTAATTCTGAAAATAATTGAGTCTCAAAGAACCAAGTCCATTCCCCAAACTTCAAATCACTGGGACTCTGGAATGGAGAGAAATTATCTGGTGTAAAGATTTGAAAGGTGCCTAAGTTATCTGAGATCCTAAGTTCCATTTTCACACTTAGAAGCCTACTGAATTCCATGAGGCTTTGGCACCTAAGTGCATAAATCAGTCTGGAGAATGGGACGGAGGCAGTAAATCACTTAGGCGCTTTTGAAAATTTTACTCCAATCTAATTTTTGGAAAACTGGTTGCCCACAAATCCTTTCACAAAGAATGATCCAATTTGTATTGAAAGAAAATTTCTAGGGGGACAACCACCCAGAAACATATCCAAAGCTAGTACACGCACGCTCTTACAGCATCTACTATTGAGACAGAATCCTTGAGGCAGCATGAAACCAAGAGGAAACAGTACACACAGGAAAGAAAGTAAAGACTAAGACAACATCCAGGGTTCTCATCCCACCAAAGAAATAACAGATGGCATTTTTCTATCCATCTAAACTCAGGATTACATTTAGGGAAAAACCTCACTAATTTTGAGATGTGTAGAAAGCTAAAAATATGCTGGTAGCTACTGAAAAATAGGATTTTTCATGATCAAAATCCAGACTGGAAGCACGAGTCTCTAGTGGCACTTGATTTAAAAGTTATACTTGTTTGTCTACTCACATCTAACACACTTGAAGTTACTTGTAATTTTAGTTCCTTAGATGAGAAAGAAAAAACACAATAGTTTTGTAACTAATTGACAGCTGTGCTAGCAAATATCCAGGGAAATATATTCTAGTAGTGTTAGGTTGCTGTACCTTGCACGCAGCTCTGCTCTTAAGAAAAACACTTGGAATATTCCACAATCTAAATAAAGCCCAAGCAAAGGCAACTCACTGCCCTTTTTTTAATCCTCTTCCTCGCACTCATGAAGCTGTCTCCCAATCAGGACGTACTGAGGTAGATACATAATGACCAATGTGCAAGAGAGAGCTCTGATTAACTATATTTTTGAGAATGCAATTTGCTCCAGGGCTACTGCCATTTATTATGTGCCGCAGTGTTAAATTTGAGCTTTGTTATACAGCAAAAAGGAAATAAAAGGAATCATTTCACATTTAAAAGCACTAAGTGGATCGCACTAACACTGTTAGGGCAAAGGCTATGTGAGTGCTAGAGCAAAACTATTTGTCTATATCCTCATTCTCAAGATAATTCTCTCTTCTCAAAATGAATACTCTGGTTTTACATCCCACTTTCTACCCACAGCCCTCTATGTGTATGTTCTAGGGGGGAAAAAACCCATCTCTTTTGGGAACCCTTCCTTTTCCAAGACTGTCAAACCCTTTGCTATAGTTAAGGAAATGTGGTAAGAGCATCTGTAGTTTCTTAGGGGCAGATCCTGCGCTGGTTTACTTAGAACATGTATAGGTGTGGAGCTAGCTCATGCCTGGCTGCAGTACGCAACACAGCAGAAATGGAGTTCAGAAACTTGCAAATGGCTGAATATCACTCACACAGATCCTTGCATAACCAATACCCTGCTATGAGCAGGGCATGAGGGAACAGGATGTTCCAGTATAGTACAGAGTCTGGCAGGGACTGCAATCTCCACATATGTATGCTACATCATGAACTATGATACTGGTGATGCACCAAACAGCAGCAGAAACATCAGCCTCTCCCCCTTTAGAGTGGGAGTAATAAGGCCACATAGCCTTCACAAGCAGCCATAAAAGCTGATGTTCATCCCACTGCTTTTTTTAATATAGGATGTGTTCCACTGTATGACTATGGCTGCAATTCTGCAGCAAAGATGGAGAACAGAGCAGGTATTTCCTTACCTGTTCATGCCTCCCCTATGGGTGGACATGCACATTTCTTTTCTCTCTGATACAGATCTAGACTATAATGAGGGGTTTATTTCTGAAACTTCTGCAGATAATCCTATCAACAGATTTTACTCCATGAGAAAAAGGGCTATGACAGGGTAAGAGTATCGGAGAACAAAGCTATAAACAAGACCCAATAATCAAAAAACACAGCACAAGATTTAGACTACCCTTTTTAAAGTTAGGGAAAAATAAATAAAGATGAAGGAGGACTGGGGAAGTAAATGGCATCAAATGAGCTGTGAACCTGTACAAAAGGCGCCTCCCAATTATGTTTTATAAATACATTATGAATTTTTCAGAAATCCTAGTTATTCTTTTTCTAGCTCTTTATGTGGCTTGGAACACAATTGGCTTCTCCTGCAATTTGTATATATACACAGTAGAGACCACTGAAGATTTACCACCTGCAGGAAGTTTACTGGGGTATTGGCAATATTTCCCATCTGGGAATATGCAGTAAAGGTAATTATTGTGGCGTCCACTGTATGCACTTAGGCACAACTCAACAGATCTATGACTATTTTAAAGACACCAAAGTTGTGTTGCCCAAAGGATTACGTAAAGTAGAAGTGCGTATCTAAGCCAACATCAAAAATATTTAAGAGCATACCTGTAATTTTGTCTCTCACAAGTTTGCAGGATTCTATTTCACCAATGCTCCCAAAGAGACTCCTGAATTCCTCCTGTGTCATATTCTGGGGTAAATAGTTGACTATGAGGTTCGTTTTGCTGTCATCTGTGGCAGCCCCTGTCTGCATGGGGGAAGGACAGTTTCTACTGTTGCTGGAGGGTCCATTGGTCGTATTGGATGTAGGGCCATTCGACACCTGAGGCTCCATGGTGCTAATTATCTAAATAAAAATAAATAAAAAAAACTGCCTGAAGTTTCACATACAATTGCTATTTTTAAAGATACTTACACATCAATGAGTAGGCAGCTTTCATGGCCAATTCAGACACTTTAACAAACAAACAAAAAAAAAAAACAAAACAAAACAAAAAAAAAGACATGGGCTTGATTCCTCTGTTATTGTTGTAAAGTAGGTCATGCTAGTCTTTGGCTGTGAGCATATACTAAGAAGCAGTGGAAAAAAACCTCCCTTTTTTGGTTAATGCAAAGCTAATTTCTGTTTTCATCACACAACCATTTTCATAAATGTATATTTAAGCATGAATTTAATTATAATTTAAGGTAATAATCATGATTAAAATTACAGTTCAATTAAAGCAGAAGAGGTAAATATAGAGGTCTATACTGAAAAAGTAAAATATATTGCCTATTTAATAACTGTATCACAAAGTGCAATGACATCAAATTAAGTGGGAGCATTTAATCTGCAAATAGTTGTTGTTTGGATCACCTTCGAGTAATAACCCTGCGATCACACAAGACACACTTTTTATTGGCTCCAATGATTACTTGTATTCTCCGGTAATATTTTTCATTAGTGGACTAACTCCTCTTTACAGCATCAGGCCCTGAACTTGCAAACTTCATGGATGTGAGTACTCTAGTGTTTGCTGTAATGGCAAAGGGCCTTTTGGATTCTACCAGAGCCATTACTTTCAAATGGCTCACAGGGTAGGAATACAGATAAAAATCAAAACACCTCTCCATCTTGAAATTTAAGGCCACAAAAACAGATTCAAATGGTCTTTTTTTAGTTACAAAGTAAGAGTCCAGTCTTGCAAACACTGATGCATCTGAGCTGCCAGCGGGACTAAACACACAACTGAAGTGTATGTATACATTTGCAGGATCAAGGTCTAATAATGCAAGAGCTTTTCATCTGGAAGCTCCATTAACTTCAGTATAATTGTACCAGTGCAATCCCGGGTATTGATGAGGAAAGCCAAGATTTGCACTGGTGGACACTACCTTAATCGGGATAAAATCTATCAGTGCAAACTGTGCCTTTCTCTGTGTACTCAAGGGGTTGCACTGGTGCAGCTAAGCAGATGGCAGTAATCGTGGAAAATCTCCAGTGTAGGCAAGGTCTCTGTTTCTGAAGGCATCAGATATTCAGTGATATAAAGTACTATCAAGCAGGAGAGACTCCCACTAACACAGGGCAAGGAAATGTAAAGATAAAGGAAAAATCCAAGAGAGACTTAGAGTAATGAGATACCATACAGTTTGAACCCTGTGTCGATCTGATCCTATAATTACAATAATTACCTAAGACTTAATTTTGGTTTCTTTCTTTAAAGTCAGGAAAGTACATATTGTGACAAGATAGATTTAATAATTCCCTACAAAACTTTGGAGGGGAAAAAAAAAGTATTCTAAACTAGACTGATACCAGGCGAATTAATGTTTTCTACTTGATTTAAATTAAGGAAGCACTAGAAATAACCAAACCAAAATGATTGTGAATTTATGTGTTTCAGTATTGCTTCCGATATCTCACCTATGAAATATCCCCTTTGTTTATAATTGGACATAAACAGTTTTGAATGGCTATTTTTAAAGTATTTGGCACAACAAGTAACAGCAACTTTGTTTAACAGTTTTCAACGAATGAAGACCTTTCACCATGGCTAACAAAAAAGCACGGCAAAAATATGAAATAGAACTATTTGGAAAGTAAAATCAGAGCACGTAGGTAGGTGATGGCTTCATAACAATGGCAACTTCTTAAAAACATCAACAGATTTCAGTCAGAACCGCCACTGCCAAATCAAGTGACCGGAAACTGCCTAAATCTTTAGCTAACCACACTGAACATTCCCCCATCCCTTGTTCTGGACATTTACCAACAATCAAGTATGTTCCCTACTTCAATCTAGATGATATCTATTTCAGATGCATATTCACCTATACATGCTATTAAAGGATTTAGAGTAAAGAGACTATGCTGTACTCTGTTCCATTTCTGTACCTCTCTAACCTTAAATCCAATACTTATTCCAGTCCCAGTAAGCTTTGCTGGTAGTCTACTGTAGAAGTGGTTATCTCTCGCTCTGGTGAACAAATGTATTCTGGGAGTTACAGCTCAATTGAGCATAATTCTTTCATCTATGTTGTATGAACATAACTGCATCAAATTGATTTAAAAAACACAATCTTGGTTCGTACTTTCTACTGAGGTCCTGAGCTCTGCAGCATCAGGTCCAATGTTAGCATTTTAACTCAGTTTTAAACATCCACAAATATTAGTGAAGTAGTCATCCTCTTCTGATAAAATATGTCTATTTTACATACCCGTTTTAGTGAACGGCTATCATTTCTGCATTTTCACTGGTTAATTTCTACACTGTGCATTCTAATAGGGGTTATAATAGATCTGTGCTGTTACAAAAGTTTATACCAACCACAAAATTCAAAACCCAATATTTTACCCAATGAATAATTTAGAGACTGGAAATTCTGAGTAGGTATGGTTAACTAAAGCACTTTATGGATATATAAACCACTGCAATGGATTTAATTAAAAAAATAGGCTGAAATGTCAGATAAATTGTTTTAAGGCTTGATCCTGCACTACTGAAGTTAAAGGGAATCCTACCATTGATCTGAATGAGAACAGGATCATGCTCTCAGAGCAGTGCATTGAGAAGTAAAGGCTGACATTCTATTATTAGTAACAGAAGCAGGAGGCATGCTAGTTACCCTTGTTTAACATGTACCCCTTGATCTTTGATTTTAAAATCCATAAAGGATGATAAAATTCAATGCTAGCTATTCTAGTGGTTACAAATAATGCAAAGTGTTATATCCTTTAAAATTTTATCTTCAACACCAAGCAAAATGTATAGCTCACCTTTAAGATTTTTAAAATTACAATATACGACGTTTTCCTCACTGCTAGTATCTCAGCATTCATTACTGTGGCATCTTAGGGCTGGATTCCCTTCTCACTTACTCTGGTTCAACTCCATTAACCTTCAAAGAAATGTCTCCTCATTTTCACCAATGTAAAGGAAAATCAGGCCCAAGATTTGCTTTCTACTGAATTACTGTGTGAGTTTCTAAAAGTAACTTCATCTTCTTATTCTCTACATGAGAGAACAAGAAGAAAAAAAACCTGATGGGAACTCAAAATATATTACCAGAAACATTCATAACAAACATCTGAGGCACTGATTTTTCATTAAATAATTTAAGACTTTCCTTCGTGTAGAAGAGATTTCTGAGGATTTATGTATAAAAGCAGTTATGTATCAGAGAAAGCACTCCAAGTTCTTATCAGCATGAAGGGATAATGTTTACTTAGGCTATATTCTCTGACAAACCACTTTTAAAAATTTAAATTATTTATGACAACAAAAATAACAGTCCTAATACTCCTTTTCAGACATACCCCCACTTAGCACTTCTAAACTCAGACGTTCTGTAGGTTAGTTCTGTGTAGTACAGCTTACTATCTCTTCAATATCAAAATGTTGTTGGAACCTATTGTGTATTACTTAATAAATACATTATTTATTTAAAAAAATGCTCGTCATCAACCCACTTCTTTCCTCTCCCTACACTAACTTATTATTGATGAATCCTGGTTGGGTTTTTGTTTTGTTTTGTTTTTTTCAACTGTGAAATGACCCTATATCCTTGGTCTCTAAATTATTCAACAAGGGCACTTTGTGTTGTAGTCTTCTGGTATAGAAACAATACTAGAGATATAGAATTATAATAATTCTATATGTGCATAATATCCTAGAAAAAAGGAGTTATATTATAGATACTGTATACATTTATAATTTAGAAACCAACATTAATTTGATTATCTATGTAAGCACAAGCAAAAGTTAATTTGATTTATACTAATCTTCCATGGGATCAAAACAGAATTTCAAGTTTGATCGTTATTTTATGTCTATCAATCTATTTCAAATAAAGGCAAGTCTTGTCCTCAATTCAGGATGTGTTTCATCAGACCCCCCAGTTTCTAAAAGTATTTCTTGGTGTACTACTTTTCTCAGTATGGTGATATATCAGCAAAGTACAGGGTATTTTAATTTGACAGGTTGCACAAAGAAATACTTTGTTGCTTGGGAAGACTGCATAAGCTTTGCCAGTGTTTTGCAAAGCACAGCTAATCACAAAGCGCGGTATAAAAATCCCAAAGAACGTCAACAACAAAAAAATCGACCAGAGCAGATCCTACATTCTAAAAAATATTTAAGAAATATTCTTATGAATCTTCATATAAATATTTCTAATGAATACAGTGGATTTAATCTTCCTGCTAAAATATTAGTTTCACCAATAATGCAAAGAATACCTGCATGTATAATGTAAATAAAACTATTATAATGCTTAAACAAGCTACTGGTAACTGACATTAATCTTTAGTTGTTAGTACAGTAAATATGTTACATCCATCTACCATTACAAAGAACAGTTAATGAATCATTTAGAAAACTACCCACAAACCAATTAGGACAGCCTTATCTTCCTATTGCATGCATAAACAATAGCCAATGGCTCAATAAATGTAAATATACATTTTACATTTACAAAATTTGTTCTCAAAAAGAGTCCATGTGTTGAACTGAGAAGAGTGTTGAAAACACTGAAAACTCTTTATAATAAACAAAACATTTCCTTAAAAAGTCACTCTGATCTGAATTACGTGTGTGTACACACTTTTTATAGGTAATAACCTGGGAATCTGCTATACACAGCAAATGATACAATAATAATTAGAGTTTCCAAAACTAAATATTGGTTTATAAAAGCCAAAGGGCAGTGTTTTGCAAAGATTCCACAAACGGACTTTTCCTAAGAAAGCAAAATCTGAGAAAAATTCTAAGAACTATGGAAATTACAGAGTTCATATGAACAGATTATTTCTAGCACTCAGAAGTCAAAAATATTATAAATTGTTCACAGCACCTAAATGCCAGG